TATATATATTAATTAATTGATCAGTAAATTTACCATTACTCCTCGCTGAGCTTCAGCAGGATATAATGTAGCATAATCAGGTTGAATAGGTCCAATACCAAATTGTGACAATTGATTTGGTGGTTGATTTATGTAAGAAGTATAGGGAGCACTTATTGGCTCTATTCCTCCCAAATGATGTTGATTTAAATATGCAGTAGCGGCAGATTGTTCTTGTTGTTGTTTCAAGTATGAAGCATTTGTTGGCACACTTGATGGTGCACTGCTGTTGATAGATGATGGTTGTTGTTGTTGTGTGGATGAGGTAGATGAGCTGGATGTAGGTAGGCGATTAATAGAAGTTGGCTGAGATAATGAATTAGAAGATTGTGTTTGTACTTGTGTAGTTTGTTGCTGCTGTTGATTGGAGGTTTGTTGTTGTAATTGTATTTGAACCGCTTGTAATTGTTGTTGATGTGTTTGTTGTTGCTGATGTAATTGCTGTTGCTGTTGTTGTTGCTGTTGCTGTTGCTGATGTAACTGTTGTTGCTGTTGCAACTGCTGTTGTTGTGTAACTTGTTGTTGAGCTGGTAAAGTAATTTGATGGTGGTTAAGCGGTTGTTGGGATTGCTGTTGTGGTGGTGGAGATTGTGATTGTTGAGTTTCAACAACTGTAGAAGAATTAGAAAGTTCATCTTGATGGGCAAGAGATGAAAGATCATTTTCGACCATTTCTACCTGTTCCTCAGAAGTTTCTGATAAACTTAAACTACCAAATTGAACACCGACTCTTTCTACACCAGTTCCATTAGTAGGCATTACAACAGGGGCATCTTGTTTGAGTCGACGTGCAGTAGTAGTTGTTTTTGATTTTAGACTGTGTGGTATGATTTCTTTTGCACGTGGTGAAACAGAAGTCACTATTGGTGATGATGAGGATGATGAGGATGATGATATTATGGGTGTATTAGTGGAATTGGCGATGTTTTCTTGTTCAGATGAAGGAATGGAAGTGGTTGTGGTATTAGAAACAATATTATTATTAATAGTAGTAGCATTTGCAGCAGATAAGGAAGGTGAAGGTGTTGTTTGTTGTTGTAGTGAATTAGATGTAGGCGTAGGTGATGATGGCTGCGATGATGGTGTATTTGTAGCAGAAGTTGATAAGATGTTTGATATTCCAGTAGCATTTGATGGTGGGGTCAAAACTTCCTTATTTAACAATGGTGATGATGCTGGAGGTGATTTTTTTTTAGTTTCTTCAATTTCAGAGATCGCAATTTCTGGAGTAGAAGTCGTTGAAATGGTTTCTTGTTGGAAATCATTATTAATACTTATGTTGTTGTTATCATTTATAATGACTTGTTCAACAACTTTTGATGGAGACTGTGTCGGTATTGGTGGAGTTGTTTTCGATATATTCGGTGATGAAGGTTTTGTTGCTTCAAGTGAGCCCTTGGTATTAGTGTTGTTATGATGTTGCTGTATAGGGGTAGTAGATGTTGTTTCGGGTTTATGTTCCGGTTTTTGATCAGGCCTATATACACATAAAATCATCATATATAATTGTTTGGGAGTTTTTTTTTGATTCCCAATTATGAAAATAAATAAATATATTTGGGGTATAACAAAGAAATTTGCACAATAATGAGAATAATGAGAATAATGAAAAAAAAAATTATTTGATTTGTTACTATATGATTTATTTAAAAAAAATTTTTGATTATAAAAAAAATTTTTTTAATGAAAATATGATTGAAAACACACTTCACAATTTGAGCCCAAGAAGTTTTGGACTGAGGAGGTATTGTCCGTGATTTAGGCGGTACTGGTGATTTATTAGAAGAACTAGGAGTAGGTGTAGATGATGAATATGAGTAAGGTTTCGATGTAGTAGAATTTTTGTATGATTTTGAAAAATCCCTAGAATTTTTATTATTGTTGCAATTATCAGATACCCGTAACTCATTGGAGTTATGATGAGTATCTGAAGATGATGATGCCCAACCATCTTTATTAAGATTAGAGTCATCCTTGGAGAAATCATTAGAGGAAGTAGCAGTTGTTGTAGTAGATATGTTGATATCTTCATCTCCCCAACTACCTTCAGTTTTTGATTCTATTGTTGATGACCAATTAGTAGCAGTATTCTGTGATGATGAAGGTACTACTTCGTTTTTTGTAGATTTAGTAATGAAGGTTGGTTCGGTATCGCCCCAACTTTTTGTCTCATTAGAATTCCAATCATTATTAGTAAGGAATTCGTCATTGTTAGCATCTGAAGACCAATTATTTCCTCCACCAGACGAATCATTGTTGCCCCAAGAATTAGAATCGTTGGTGGTAGATGATTTGAATTGGTTACCGTTACTTGTTTCGTTGTGATGAAAAGAAGAACTGGGTCCATTTGGATGTTGACGTGAAGTTCGACCATGTCCTTTTATTGTTATTATTTAATCATTATTATTTAATTGATTATTTAATTATTAATTTTGACTTTAATTTTGTTTGACACTAAAACATACCTGAACCATTTTCTTTTTTTATAGCTCGACTACTACTATTAGTTCGATCATCTCTTCTTCCACCACGACCACGAGATCTTCCATTACCTCCAACAATATTACGTTGTTGCTGCTGATGATGTTGTTGTGGTTCATTATTATGACCAACATTACCACTATTACCGGTAACATTAGTAACAACACCACTACCAGCACTACCACGTTGAGAAACACCAGGTTGTCCGGTAGATTTGGTTTTATTGCTATGATCTTTTTTAGATTTACGAGATTTAACTTCACCCCATTGACTTGTATGACCTTTTATTTATATTTTAAAAAGAGATAAAATTAATTAATCATTTATTTATTTATTTTAAAGCCTTCTTTAAAAAAATTTTTTATAGTTATAATCTCATTAATTTAATATTTAATAAAATTATAAATTTGAAAATCTTAAATTTAATATGTAGATGATAGTGATGGTAATTAAAAATTTAAAAGAAAAAAAAACAAACCATCACTGATTCGACTAACTGTGAGTTCGATGTCACCTTCAGCTTCGTTTAAAGTGAACAGCAAATCTGCTTCTGTCCAATCTTCAAACATTTCTTGTAATGTCGCTAATTTGTCTTTATAGAGAGATCTCAACTTTTTTACTTCTTCAGACATTTCAGGTAATATTGGTGGTCGTAAACCTTCACATATATCAAGAATCAAATGATGATTGTGAGCTCTATCATCAAATGCTGGATGGCCTGCAAATATTTCCCACATTAACATCCAACACTATAGATATCAGATTCTTTGGTGTTCTTTTTGCCTCTAAGTAGCTCGGGTGCAACATATGATACAATTCCATATACTTTATTTGATGACTTTTCATCAACTGGTCCACATAATCCCAAATCTGTAATACAACAACAACCTCCTTTCAATAATATATTGCCACTGTGTAAATCACAATGGATTAAATCTTTTTTATGTATATCATCTAATGCAGTACATAAATAATAAAAGATTGTAATTCTGTCTTTTAATGTTAAATTTAAATGATTTTTTTGCAAATAATCTCTTAAATTTCCCTCTTGAATGTAAGGTAAAACTATTGCATAATTTCCATTATCTGGGAATTTAGTTATACCATAACACTGAACAATTGATGGGGATTTAATTTTACAATAATTCACTGCCTGAGAATAAATAAAATCAATTAGTATTATATTATACATTATTGTTTTAAATAACAACCACCAACCTCATCAAAAAAGCCTTTTCCTGGATTACTTGAATCATTTAAACTTTTTAATACTACATATTGTGCTCCTAAATAACTAAATTCCTTTTTATTTTCATCATAATCAACAATACTTCCTCTTGTCCATGTAGCAATATAAATTGAACTAAATCCACCTTCAGTCAATTTTGTCACTTCTTTAAATTGCTCAAAAGGTATCCATTCTAAAATATAGTATGGCAGAGAGATTTCATTTGACATTGTTGAATAAAATCATCAATTATATTATTTCCAGATATCAAAGTGGTGCTCTGTAATTGTAATCTAATGCAACCTTCACAGAATCTATCAGAGTATCTTGTCAATTTACATTTGTTACATTCTTTTGATTTGCCCAATTTATCTCTTGCATTTTGTAATTCAAAATGATAAATAAACTTTTCCTACAAAATTCTTTTTCATTTTCAGAAAGCTCCTTGTTTTTTTTTGACTAACAAAAAAAAATAATCTTTTCTACTTTCTCTATCAGAATTAACCACTGCATTATTATGCATTTTACCATAAATTTTAAATACAAATTCCTTTCTTTCTAGTGATAATGATGATAATCGGTTAACATATGACATTATATAATATAAAAATATAAAATTTGACTTGGTGTTTTAATGAATAGCGGAGATTTTTTCTTGGGAATAACAGTTATTAACATATTTTATTTAACGTATATAGAGAAGAAAAGGTTGCCGTGTTACGGTGCCTTACTAAATGTTAATTTCTGTGTAGGTTTTTATATTTTGCGTAATATTTCTTTTTTTGTTTCCCTAATCTAACGACTTTTACCCAATTTTGAAATGTTTGGTTGCACGGGAAATAATTCGTTGTAAAGAAGATTTGTGTAGATAAATTCAGTTCAGTTACGGTACGAGTCAACGCGAATCTTCTAAACGTCCTGTTTCTCAACTGAATTTTTGTGGAAGGATGAGAGTCGTTTTTTTTCTTTGCTGCGTGGCTTGAAATTTGTTAATTAACAAGATTTTAAGTTAAACATCGCGACGAAACATGCAGAATTTATTTGCAAGTATTTTAATATTAATATTAATATAATAAACCAAAAACAGGACAAAACGACGGATTTTTTTCTTCTCAGGAGCAGTAAACGTCAATTAACTAAATATTAATATTAAATAGCTTGTTTGTTAAACCTTTTTTTTTTAATATATATTACAAAAAAAAAAGAATACAAATGCAGAAAAGATTGTTTTGTTCCCCATAACATGATAAATTAATTTTTTTTTACCGCTTTATCAATTTGCAACCCTTCAGTATTAGCCTTTTCCAATCTTTTATATTCTTCTAACACTGCTTTAGAAACCTTTAATTGAGCAGAGTCAAAACTGAGAATATGCAAGTTTTTTAACGAAGGAGCTCGGCTCATTGTAATGTATATTTGTCCTTCAGCAAATATGTTCTTCATCAACATTCAACAACGCTTTATATATGGCCCAAATGGCCAGCAATTTGATTCAATTTTTTTGGCTTCCACTAATTACACTGTCAGTGGAAGAGATGGACTTAATGAAGCACGTAGATAAAAAAAATGGATGTTATGTTTTTTTTTAACGAAAGAATATTATGAATTTGATTAATTAATATTCCTTCATTTTTATTCATTTTTATTACTCGATTTAGAAGGCATTTCTTAAACTAAAACTTAATTCTATTTTAAAAAATTTATTTTTATAAATTAATTAAAATGTTGAAACATTTAACGATGGCTTTAATTAAACATAAGTTTATCTACTATTATATAAATCAAAGGGACGGAAAGGATGCAATTCATAGTCGGCTTAAGCTTTTTTTATTGGTCCGACATCTTTTCTTTCTTTTATTATAAATAGAACTTTCATCCGTTAAAAAAAATTTTGGCAGCACTTAACTTGACTAAACGTTAACATTAACGTAAATGATGACATTGACATTGATGTTGATGTTGACGTTAACTTTAACTACTCTATATACAGTGCGGATCATCTATATTCAAAAGTCAAAATTTTTGAAATATTATGTGATCCACACATTGG